CCTCCGCTCTTGTACCAAACCGCCTTCCCCCACCCTCAAGAGGAGCCTTCAGGTGAAGTGCAAGTGCTAAGCCCCACAGCTCGGTGGTTAAGGTGCTTGTTTGCCAGCAAATCCGATTTACTCAAGTCCCTCTCCTGCTGACCAAGGTCTCTCCTTGCCCAGATGCCTGAACCTCCTTGCACAACAGGACCAGGGTTATCTGATCGTTCCCCCTTGGGGTGATGTTTACTACGGCCACCACATCTGTCAGCTCTTTTTTGGCTGTAAACAGCTACCCACAACCCTCCAAAGCGCCTCATGCTTATTTCTCAACAGACTCCAGCTCAATCGCCTCGTAAAAGTACAAACTGACACAGACACAGCAGAGGGGACAGCGCCCAGCGCTCCTCCATCCTTGGCACGGGGCTCTGGGCTCGCTGCCGAGCACAGCTGAAGATGACACCGAGAAAGGGTTAGGATGTCCCTCCTAAAAAACTCTCAAGAGACCTTCCAAAAGGGACAGGGTGGAGGGGAAATTGCCTCAGAAATCCTCTGGTAGCACCAAGAAAGCCCGTGGTTGGCGTGCTACTGAGCTGGCTGGGCTTCCCTGGGGGGGAAATATGGCAGCTGGATGAACAATTGAGATTTGACAGCACTTATCCCCTAAACTGCCAGATGCCTCACCGAGATGGGACCTCAAGAGGACAAGGGAGGGCAGAAGGGTCTTCACAGCTTGAGGAGCTCGTGGTGTCCAGCATGGCACTCACTCCTCTGCTACGAGCAAGACCAAGGCAAGATGTACTGGAAATGCAGAGCGAGCAGCCAGGAGAGCAAGGCTGTCCCCTGCTTACTGGACTCGAGTAACAACACACCCATGCCTAAACAGAATAAAGAACGGACCAGAAGTGCCTGTGTATATACATACATATACATACAGACACACATATATTTCAAATCTTCCACTTTAGCTTCTCTTCCGCTCCTCCACATAACCTGCCCTACACACACACACCAAGGTAGACCACGCTCAGAGTCAGCGGTGGCTTGAGCTT